CAACTCCCATCTTGGTAAGTCTGTCATTCGCGTAGACGTAATGTCTGGACCTAATGTGTGGTCGAAAAGACATCTCTTAATTTTGTACAGTATATAAAATCATTTGCTTTTGGGAGAGGCAACACTGAGGAGGTTTGAATCTTGTGGCCTCCTGCTGTTAGGCAGGTACTCTACCACTTGATCTCTCTTTTGCTTTTTTTTTGGGTCCGGTCGTGGGGCCTGAACTCTGGGCCTGGGCGCTGTCCCTCAGCTCTTCAGCTCAAGGCTAGCACTCTACCACTTGAGCCACAGCGCCACTTCCGGCTTTTTTCTTTTTGCTTATGTGGTGCTGGGGAATCGAACCCAGGGCCTCATGCATGCAAGGCAAGCGCTCTACCACTGAGCCACCTTCCCAGCCCCTGCTTTTGCTATTTTTAGTAGGATCTGTTCTTAGACCTGTTTATGCTTCCCACTATAGCGCTGATGGCAGGCCTATATCCTTTTCTGTTGCAGTGGCATCTTGAGAATTACCCCCCCCCCCCCCCCCAGCCTTGTCTAGTACCAATGTGCTCTCCCATCTCAGCCTCCCCTGTAGCTGGGATGATAGGCACATGTCACCTTTGCCCAATTATTGGCTGAAATGGAATCTCAGGAGTTTTTGGCCTAGGCTAGCCTTGAACCTCAGTATTCCGAATCTCAACTACCCAAGTAGCTAGAATTTCAGGCACAAGCCACCAGTGCCTAGAGTTTGCTATATTTTTTAATGAGTAGGATGATTTAAGGTTCTCAGTATTTGATTCTGAAGCTTACTTACTTTGAAACAGTGCATTACTACCAGCTAACACAAGAGGTCAGCAAACAACTATTGAAACTTGGAAATGTTACTATTTTTAAAGGTATTAAAATTGCTAAAAATGACTTTAAGTATGGAACTTCCTTTGCTTCTGTCAGTGGATAGTACTTGAAAATGAGAATGACAATCCCTGAGAAGTGGTATCAGGGAATACCCTCTAACCTCTATCTTACCAGTCTTGTCAGACTACCTTAAACTACCTGGGAGATTGTTTTCTATCAGAATCACTCAGTGGAAAATTTAGTAGGAAGTTTGTTGTTTGAATAGTGTTGACATTGCCTTATTCTTGTAGGTTACATTTCGGACAAGAATCTATCACTGTAATATTAACAGTCAAGGAGTTATTTGCTTGGACATACTCAAAGATAACTGGAGTCCAGCACTAACCATTTCTAAAGTCCTTCTTTCTATCTGCTCACTTCTTACAGACTGTAATCCCGGTAAGATTGATTATTCTTGTTTTATTTTTCTACCAGTTTTTTACATTTTTGAGAAGTTCAATCTAGTAGGTGAAAAATGTAGCAACTCTACCCTTACATGGTAGGGAACACATATTTTGAACTGAAAACTTAGCTGCGGCTGTTTACTTGAGTTTTTTACGTTAGATCCTTCTCCTTGTTGTAGTATTTCCCTTCTGGGTGCCTGTGGGCTCACAGAGCACTTGCTCCATATCTGTTGGCCGATGTGCTCAATTTTGTACATATTTTTCTTTTACTAAATACTTAGTACTGAATTGTGATTGTTTTTGACTCAGTAAAAAAAATTTATTTTTCTTCCCCAAACCACAATGTTTGAGATTGTACTTTCAGAGAAACACCAACTGTGGGCCCAGATTTTTACTTTATAAATTAGTTTTTGTAGAAGAAAATAATGTTCCATTGCAGCAGCTGAGTACTTGTTAACATTTCCCATGTTCCATGTGAACAGAGTACATGTTAGTGGAGTGCCCACCTTGACCATTCCAGGCCATACCCAACTTGGCCTAAACAGTTAGGAGAAACATTAGAGTAAAAGAAGCAAGCCACATGCACTTCCTGTTTTGCTAGGATAATCTTACCACCCCCTTGCTACACTTCATGTGACATTTCAGTTGCAAAGATTGGTTTAATCACAGTTGCTTTATTGTACATTTCTACTTAAGCAGTCCAGTTTGCTGTAGTTTTAAAATGTTCTTTTCCTTTCTCCAAAGTAATCTACATTTTTTTCTTGCAGCCGACCCTTTGGTAGGAAGTATTGCCACTCAGTATATGACCAACAGAGCAGAACATGACAGAATGGCCAGACAATGGACCAAGAGATACGCTACATAAACTGGGTTTTCACAGTTCCTACATTATTTGTCTGTCACAGAAGAGAGCTGCTTATGATTTTGAAGGGATGGGGGAGGGTGGGAGTTGGTAAAGAGTAGGATATTTCTATAACAGATATTATTCAGTCTTATTTCCTAAGATTTTGTTGTAACTTAAGGTATCTTGCTACAGTGGGAAAAATTGGTAATAGCAACTTTTAAAAACTGTCACTAGTTCCGCAATATTAGCTGATACACAGTACAGAAAAGAATGTACATTTAGATATTTGGGCTCAATTGCTTGTAGTCTTAATTTTAAAACAACATAATTTTGTACAGGTTATACACAGCCATTTATGTAAAATCTGCTTTCCCTTCTTGGAAGGGAACATTGATATTTAACAGAGTTTTTAGAGACTGTCATCTCATTATATATATATTATATATATATAATGGATACATGGCTATAAGACACCATGTAGGAAATGAATAGTTAATGTATTTTATTTTATATGCAAATCTACTTTAGAGGTTTAAATCAACTTGGAAATCCTGTAGTGAAATACCTTAAGCTGTTAACTGTAAGGCGTGGAATAGGAGTCGCTCAGTGGATTGGTTCTATGTTGTAGACTTCTTACGTCTGCATTTGTTACTGTGCTAATAAACAACATTAAAAAAAAACTTGATTCTGCTGTTGTTCACTTGTTTTCTTCTGCCTGTTCCTTACAGCTTGCTGTTTTAATTAATGAGTAGGTATCTTTACCTATTCAAGAACTGGAGATGTCTTAGATGGTTTAGACCCATGTAGCCTTTTCTGGGTTTCAAAGACAAACTCCTGTGGTCTTTACTTTCTTTTAAATTACAAATGTATTACTTCTAATGTGGGGGGCAGAAAAGTTCAGTGTGTGGTTTGTGTTGGTTATAGGACTTGAATGCTGGGCCTGGGGTCTGTCCCTGAGCTCTTCATCTCAAGGCGAACACTCTACCACTTGAGCCATAGTGCCACTTCCACTTTTCTGGTGGTTAACTGGAGATAATAGTCTCATGGACTTTCCTGCCTAGGCTGGCTTTGAACTATGATCCTCAGATCTCAGCTTCCTGAGTAACTAGAATTACAGGTGTGAGCCATCCGTGCCTGGCTCTACCAGTGTGTTTAGCAGTATGGAGAACTGAGGTCTTCCTGCTTGCAAGGCAGATTCTCTACTATAGTAACATGCTTCCAGCTCCCTGGCTGTCTTTACATGGTGGAGAAGGCAAAACAGCCCTCTTGGGACACTAATCCAATTAATGAGAGGACACCCCTGTGGTCTAATCACCTTCCTGCATCTTCTTAAAAGGATTTTCTAATTTGCAGATGCTGTGGTAGAAGCACTTAAGAAGTAAGTTCCCACAGGTAAGTTGGAGAACCACCTTAGGGCAGTTCTTCTGTCCATTTTCTTCAGAAAAACTCACCCGAGTGTACATACATTCATTATAGTATTTTAAAGAACCTGGTAATATATGGGTATTAACATAGTGGGGAAAAAAGCAAACTGCAGGGGTAAAATATGTAGGAAAAAATAAATGAATGACAATATCTGGTAACATTTTGGCCTAAAAATGTACTTGTGATGAGAAATACAAAAGAGTTAAAACAGTATCAGCAATTGTATTTTTTTTTGGTCGGTTGTGGGGCTTGAACTTTGGGCCTGGGTACTGTCCCTGAGCTCTTCAGTTCAAGGTGAGCGCTCTACCACTTGAGCAACAGCACCACTTCCAGCTTTTTCTGTTTACATGGTGCTGAGGAATCAAACCCAGGGCCTCATGCATGTGAGGCAAACACTCTACCACTGAGCCACTTTCCCAGCCCTGTATTATCTTTTATATGTAGCAATTCTTGGTTTGAACTCAACTAATCATCCAAGTACTCCAGTTAAGGCTGTGCCTTCTAGCAGTAGAGTGCCTGCCTAGCAAATACCAGGCCCTAAGTTCAAACCCCCCCACACACAAAAAATCCATTTAAGATGTTACAATTGACTTGATGTCAATACGCTTTGATAATGGCTTTTTTTTTCCAGTTTTTTTTACCTTGAAGTTTACTAGTTAACTCACTGATTCACAGCTGTAACCAAACACTTCCTACTTTATTTTTTTTTAATTGGGTTTCACATAGCAAAGGCTGATCTTGAACTGCAGATCCTCTTGCCTTGGCCTCTTAGGTACTCAAGTCATACATTTAGATCACCATGCCTGGCTACTGCTTCTTAAATAAGTTGTAAAGCTGTCAAACTGCTAAATATAATTAACCCCACTGCTCACATCTTGCCAAAATCATAAAACCACAGTACAAGCTCTGCAACGGTGGCTCATGCCTGTAATCCTAGCTATTTGGTAGGCTGAGGTGTGAGGATCACAGCTCAAATGGAAAAGTCTTTTAGACTCTGATCTCTAATTAACTGGCAAAAACAAAAACCGAAGTAGAGGTGTGGTTCAAGTGGAAGAACTCTTAGCTTTGAGCAAGATGCCAAGTGAGAGCCTGAATACAAACCCTTACCCTGGGTAGCCCGGTATTTTTCTGGTATATTTTACTGCATGTGACTAGACAACTACTACCTTCAAGTCATTAAATATGATTGGAGCAAAACTAAAACGACTTTTGTATAACAAAATATCCACAAGGTAAGAAACTAGCTTATCCGAAGTTTGTAGTGTCATTGCTCCAATATAAGTATACTGTCAAGTTTTAAAATCCTAAATATTGCATGGCTTACATGCATACAGCTACATACAGTTAGTGTAACTTCTGGACAGGTTGGGGCTTACGTAGGTGCTACTTGGGTGCTTTCCAAACTTATTTTACTATTTTGACAAGTGCAACATCAGTAATAAAAGGCTTTGAACAAGAATGAGAATATATTTTATATCAGGCAATAGAAATAAACATACCAATAGTTTAATTACAACCTACAGTGCATTATTAGGGTTCTGTAGGGTTCCCTAAGGACCAAAGGTAGGCATGAAGGACCTATTTTATGAATTCATCTTATGTACCATGTTTATGCACTTACTGGGGATCACTGTTCACATGCCGTTGTGGAGTCTGACTTTTAGTTCTCAGAGCTGGAGTTGCCTTTGTTTTTTCTCCCAGGCAAAGGGAAGCTGGTCTTGCTCTGGGGCTGGGAGAGCTTACTGGCTAATAAAGTGAACGGCTCAATCAGAGTTTTCCGGTCTGTCACAGTCACCTCCCACAGTCTCACTTTCTCGCTTCTTGCCCACTGTTGTGCCACTTCAGCATCCACTTGCCTCTGCTCAGAAAGGTCGAGTTTGTTTCCTAATACAACAATGGCTACCTGGAAGAAAACAGGTTGAAAGATTACACTCTGCCAGCATAGGTGTCCAGGCCAAACAGTTGAGGAAGGAACATTTCCATATAACTACCTGCTTCGTTAGTAGGATCTTCAGGTGTGACTGGGATGGTAGGAAGGTTTCACCTCACTCCTTTTCCCTAGTGAACTGCCAGTTGCTAACTATTAAGGTTTAAGTTAACAGGGAAAGTCACTCAAGCACAAATGGAAGACAGACTTGGAAACTGATGTCTAGGATAGCAGTTTAAGCTAGTGATGGCAGTTTGGCTATGCTGGATATTTGGGAGATTTGCAATGCAATGATTCAAAATAAAGTAAGACAGCTGGGAAGGTGGCTCAGTGGTAGAATGCTTGCCTTGCATGCATGAAGCCCTGGATTTGATTCCTCAGCACCACATAAGCAGAAAAAGGCAGAAGTGGCGCTCTAGCTCAAGTGGTAGAGCACTAGCCTTGAGCTGAAGAGCTAAGGGACAGTGCCCAGGCCCAGAGTTCAAGCCTCACACAGACAAAAAAAAAAAAGATAACCAAAATAAAGTAAGACAATTTAGAGCTGAGTTCTGTATCCCTAGAATCTTAAGTTCTGTGTCATTGCTGATCTTTAATAAATATCTACTGTTGAATTACAGGCCAACAGGAAATACATGAAGAACAAGTCAAGCATCCATTCCTATTTGGTATGCTTACTACTCAGCCCAACACCTGAGGTGACCTGAACCCAACAGGCACAAGTGTGGAAGCCTGGGGCGGGGAGGAGGGTGTACCCAGATTTTCATATGATACAGTCTCAACAGGAACATAGGGCCAAACTTGTCGAAGAAGGTGCCTCTGCAGAGTTTCCATAAAACCACTTTTGTCAAGACTAAATAAACAGGCAATTCCTACCCCCATCCAAAAAAAAAAAAAAAACTGTGGGAACTGGGGCTGATAGTTCCCTGTGGCATCCTCTGCATCAACAACTATGCCTAGCACACAGTAGTTGCTTTATAAGCACTTAGATCTCAGCCTTCTAAGTAGCTGTTAATTAAAGGCTGAAATCACCAGTGCCAGCTAAATAGGCTTCTTAAATCGCTACAGTAACCACTGGGGAAAGGTATCACTATCTTGATCTTACAGCAGATAAGGTAACTGACAAAATCTGAGAAAGCCAAGACAATATACCAAGTACATAAGCTTTTGCTAAACTATTTCAATTTGGGGGACAAAGGAATCATTTTCAAGAAAATAATTACAGTAGCCAGGTATGTAATATACCCATAATCCCAACATTGAGGAGTCTGAGACAGGAGGATCATAATAAGCTTGAGGCCAGCTTAAGATTCATGAGAACCTGCCTAAAAAAAAAAATTAAAAAGCATAGCCAGGTGCCAAGGGCTCACACCTGTAATCCTAACTACTCAGGAGGCTGAGATCTGATGATCATGGTTCAAAGCCAGCCTGGGCAGGAAAGACTCTTATCTCTAGTTAACCACCAGAAAATGGGAAGTGGTGCAGTGGCTCAAGTGGCAGAGCCCTTACCTTGAGCTGAAGAGCTGAGGGACAGTGCCCAGGCCCTGAGTTCAAGCCCTACAACCAACCAACCAAAAAAAAATCATATAGATAATATCTATCTATGTATATGTATACACACATACATCTATGTTTAAAGTGGCAAACACAAAACTGGACAGCTTTCATTCCTTGTCATTTTAATCATTTTAAGTTTAGACCTTGTTAATAATCTATTCAAAAAGTATAAGTGTTTGATGACTCAAATGTGCTTCAACAGGCCAGTGGTTAGTTTGGACATACATTATCTTGGAGGACCAGCACCACTCAGCAGCAAAATAGGAGTAAACTACTGGTACGTGCAATAATTTCAGTGACTCTCCTGAGAATTAGGCTGAATGAAAATACTGTACGACTCCTTTTTTTAGACCTGTGTTACACAGGCTGGCCTTAAATTCAAGATCCTCCAATCTTGGCCTCTCAGGTGCTGAGATTACAGGTGTAAACTGCCATAGTCAGCTGATAAAATACTCTTGAAGCAGCAGACTAGTATTTCTGGGGATTAAGGAAGGAAGGGGATAGGAGGGAAATGGGTGGCTATAAAAAGTTAACATGAAGGATCTTGGAAAGTTCTGTATCTTGACTGTGTCCTTGAAAATATCCTGATTATAATATACTATAAGATATATACTATAAGATGGTGGCACTGGGGAGAAAACGTGTAAAGGATCTCTTTTATTTCTGAAAATGACATGAGCTGGACACCAATGGCTCATACCTCTCATCCTAGCTTCTCACGAGGCTGAGCTCTCAGGATCACAGTTCAATGCCAGCCCAAGCAGGGAAGTTTGACTCTTATCTCCAATTACCTACCAAAAAGGTGGAAGTAGAGCAAGGCTCAAGTAGTAGAATGCTAGCCTTGAGCACAGAAGCTGAAGGACAGTGCCCAGGTCCTCAGTTAAGCCCCAGGTCTGGCACCAAAAAAAAAAAAAAAGAGATTTGAAAGTGTGGTGGTTTACACCTGTGGTCCCAGCGTCTTAAAAGCTTAAGGCAGGAAAATGATGGGCTCAGAATTTCAGACCAGCCTGGACCACACAGTAAAGCCTAGCCTCTAAATGAAATGAACCACTAGACAGACATGGTGGCACGTACTTGTAATCCCAGCTATACTGGAAGCATATGTAGGAGAATCATGGTTCAAGGCTGACCTGGGCAAAAACACAAGACCTTACCTGAAAAATAAAAGTCTAGAGACATGACTCAAGTAATAGAACACCTGCCATAGCAAGGATGAAACCCTGAGTTCAATCCCCAGTACTGCCAAAAATAAGCCAAGTAGATGAGAAGATTAAAAGGTTGTGAATAAAGTCTATAATAATCTCTAGATGTTTAATACAAAAATAAAGAAAACTTCACAATCCAATTAAAAATACCAGATTGTTAGCCACTGCCCTTTATGGCTACATAGGTAGCAAATCAGACACGTAACCCTTGAAGCAAAGAATTCCAGATGGGCCTTACAGGACAAAATTCTTTGCAGAAAAAACAAGCAAACAAACAGAAAACACCCATTAAGTGAGAGAGGGGCCCAGTGATAAAACAAGATGAAAAAGACAGGCACTAGCTAAGTCATAGAAGCCATTACAGACCATGGCAAAGCATTCATAGGTGGTCTATTAAACAGAAGCCCTTAATTACTTGCTAGTTTGCTTTCTGGTTTTCTTTGGTGAGGCTGAAGACCAGAATCTTGTTTATCAAGGAGATTATAAAAATAATAGTGGCCTCAAACAACATAAAATGAAATCAAATCCAACAAGAAAAGTTAGAAAGTCAGTTCTGGTCCTGAGAGAACTTGGTAGGTCCTGTACACACTGGGCTAAGACAACATTGCAGGAATTGAGAATACAATTTACAAGTTTTTAAGTGTGTAAACCACCACAGCCCACATTACAGTGTTCTAATTCACACGGTATGTTGAACTTAACCACTTACCTCTTTTTTGTCCTTGAACTTATCGATTTCTTTCTTCAGAAGCTCTACTCTTTGAAAGGATTCAAGGTTATTCACGCTGTACACGAGGACAAAGCCATCAGCGAGTGAAAAGTAATGCTTTGGAAGCTCCACCCCATCCTGCAGTCCTCTGGTGTCATAGAGGTGCAACTGCTCCTTTACGCCCCGATCAGTCTCCACAGAAGCCATGTATACATCCTCCATTGTCTCACAATCTTCCATTCCTCAGATTTAAGAACAATTTACTCCTTTCAGATAAACCAGCAAATAGCGCACTACCCACTTGTCCTTTAGACACTAGCTCTCTAGCTTTCCTATCTATCATATATACAGTCAGCCCTATTTCTACTTGGAAATGAAAGATGTTTGTTTATAGGAAATTCACAAAGTGCTTTCTAAAAATTTTTCTTCTGGGGTTAGGGATGTAGATAAGTGGTAGAGCACTCAGCACTTAGCCCTTGGTTCATTTGAAGAAAAAAAAACTATAAAACAAAAAGCAGTGAGAATTATTTTTTTTTACAAGTTCAAGAATCAAAGGACTCAATACTATATTGAACAGTTAAAAGGCTGATATTAAAAGTAGCTTCAAACTGAGCGCTGGTGGCTTGTAATCCTAGTTTGTAATCTCGTGTAATCCTGGCTACTCAGAAAGCAGAGATCTGAGGATCTCGGTTCCACGCCAGCCTGGGGAAGCAAGTCCATGAGACTCTTATTGCCAATTAACTACCAGAAAACCACAAGTGGTGCTCTGGGCTCAAAGTGTTAGAGCACTAGCCTTGAGAGCTCTGGGACAGTGCCCAGGCCCAACCCAAATTCAAGCCCCACAATTGACAAAAAAAAAAAAAGTTGCTTCAGGGTCTGGGAAGGTGGCTCAGTGGTAGAGCGCTTACCTTGCATGCATGAGGCCCTGGGTTCGATTCCCCAGCACAACATAAGCAAAAAGAAAAAAAGCCGCAAGTGGTGCTGTGGCTCAAGTGGTAGAGTGCTAGCCTTGAGCTGAAGAGCTGAGGGACAGCGCCCAGGCCCAGAGTTCAGGCCCCACAACTGGACGCAAAAAAAAACAAAAAAAAGTTGCTTCAATAATAAAATAGCCTCCTTTGTTTTGCCATCAAGCCAGAATATGAATTCTGCTGTCTTCTGTAAAACCCCAGGATCTGTTTAAGAGACCCTGCACATGTCCTGTCCACGCTGGAGCTTTAAGCCTTCAATCCCAAGTACCCACCAGGCAATTTCGTCAATTTCCTGTGAAAGTCCCTCTCAAACTACTCATAGTTCTCTTCCCTCCATTTTGCTTCCTCCCTTCATTGCAATCCACTGGGCAGTCTGCAGAGTTCTTGAACAACCACAAAAAAGTGAGAAAGTTAACACAAATTGTCACTGTACAAGTTAAACACCGCTCCAGCGCAGCCTCCTTCCAGTGCCCCGGGCCCGCTGTCTTCACCTGAGCTACTGCTACAGTACAGCAAGCACCCGGAAAACTCTGCTTACCCTTGGAAGACGCTGCTAATGATTACCCGCTTCTCTTTCAGTCCCTTCTGGGCTCTGTCCAGGTAATGTCGTGTTTTATCGTTTAATCTTTCCATATCTATCTCCAACGGGAGTGTAAATACCTTGAGAGCTCAGATGGGTTTCTACCTTTGTAGTTTTGAGGACAGATAGGTATACATAGGAAGCTCTTCATAATATCTGATGAGTGAATGATCTCATAACATGCCAATTTCAGTTCCCTTCTTGCCTAAGATCTTTTTAAAAAATGCATTTTACCTATTTGTTCCATTTGTGCAGGGTTTGTCTCCAACAGGTCTGTAAATCCCTTGAGTGAAAAGAACCTTTCTGGGGGAGTGGGAGTTCATTTTTTTTTTTTTTGAGGCAGTCTTGCTATTGCAGCCAAGACTGCCCTTGAACCTTAATCTTCCTGCCTCAACTTCCAAGTACTGAGATCACAGAAAAGAATCAGAGCAAATATTCAACAATCCTTCACTGATCAAGAAATAAGAGGAAAATACGCTTAATTTTTAATGAATACAGCAGAGGCATGATATCACTCCCATAAACAGTTTTATATTTAAATTTCATATTAAGACCTAGGAGCATGGTTCAAGTAGTAGAGCAATTGACTACATATCCTGCACAGGGTCTGAGGCTCAATCATACAAAAAAAGAATTATGTTTTAAATGAGGTACATACAGAAGTAAAATTCAATGGATTAACATCACACTCAAAAAACAGATGTTATACATAATTATATAATATGTATATACTATATACTGTATTACACATTTATAATATATACATAAATATGCAATATATTATATAAAACTATATAATATATAACATGCGTATAATATATTGTAAATAGTATATATAATATATATCATACATGTGACATTATACTTTTTTGAAAACTTTGGTTATAATTCTAAACAGTGAACTGTCCTGATAACCTATAGGGCACTGATGGCTCACACCTATTCCTAGCTACTTAGGAGACTGAGATCTGAGGACTGCAGTTCAGGAGACAGCCTGGGCAAGCAAAGTCCATGAGACTCTTATCTCCCATTAACCACCAGAAAACTGTAAGTGGAGCCGTGGTTCAAGTAGTAGAGTGCGATAGCCCTGAGCAAAAGAGCTCAAAGACAGCACCCAAGCCCTTAGTTCAAGCCCTATGACTAACAACAACAACAAAAAAACTGGAGATATGGCTCAAGTGGTAGAGCACCAGCTGTAAGCAGAAAACTAAAATGAGCAGGACTGAGGAGCCCTGAGTTCAAGCCCCAGTGCTTACACATGTGCGCGTGCTCACGCACACACACATAAGAAATGTCCACAAGTATTAAAACTTCCATAAATATTAAGTTAAAAGGAATGATGACATATAGATTTCATAATGAGAAATTTTGCTTTGATCATCCTAAGTTTGCATATTTGGAAAGGAAAATTACTCATGAACTTGATGAATCTGTGGCATCCTTTAAGTAGGCCTTAAAGAAATTAAAGGTTATTCTATTAATACAAACTTACAAGAACTTACAAAGAAATGTTTCCTTGTTCTTATCTTCTCTCTTACACCTCATTTTTTTTGGGGGGGGTCCAGTCGTGGGGCCTGAACTTGGAGCCTGGGTGCTGTCCCTCAGCTCTTCAGCTCAAGGCTAGCGCTCTACCACCTGAGCCACAGTGCCACTTCCGGCTTTTTTCTTTTTGCTTATGTGGTGCTGAGGAATCGAACCCAGGGCCTCAGGCATGCAAGGCAAGCGCTCTACCACTGAGCCACCTTCCCAGCCCCTACACCTCATTTTTGAACAATCACCCTGCTTGACTTCATCTCATGACCAACAAAACCAGAGTTAGAGAGAAACTCAAAAATAACCTTACCAATGGTGTGATTTCCATAAAGGAGCTGCTCCAAAATCGCTGTTTTCCCCACAGATAACAATCCACAAACCACAACCTTGCAGCCCTTTCCCATCTTCTCTCAAATATCACTGTGAACAGAATAAAAGACTCAAATTCTACACTGCCAAAACAGCCTTTTTTTAAAAAAAGATGAAATTTAATCAATGTTTAAATATTACATAAAAACAACACGGACTGGGAATGTGGCTTAGTGGTAGAGTACTTGCCTCACATGCATGAAGCCCTGGGTTCAATTCCTCAGTACCACATACACAGAAATAGCCAGAAGTGGCACTGTGGCTCAAGTGGTAGAGTGCTAGCCTTGAACAAAAGAAGCTCAGGGACAATGCCTAAGCCCACAGTTCAAACCCTGGGACTAGCCAAAAACAAAACCAAAACCAAAAAACTCCTCAAATATGCTATGTCTTTCCAAACCCCATTGACAGTTCCCCATTCACACCTTTAGGATTAAGAGTTTGTATATCTTCAGAGATTATCTAGATTTAAAAGCACATAGATATGTTCACCTGACCATTAAAAAAAATATATCCTTGGTAAGAAGAGTTTAATGATTGAGTCTATAAGAACCTAAAAGGGCAAGGTGCTGGTTGCTCATGTCTGTAATTCTAGCTACTCAGGAGGCTGAGATCTGAGGACTGCAGTTCAAAGCTAGCCCATTCAGAAAAGTCCATGAGACTTTTATTTCAAATTAATGAAAAGTGGAGTTGTGGCTCAAAACAGTAGAGCATCAGCCTTGAGTGGAAAAAGCCACATAACAATGAGAGGCCCTAAATTCAAGCCTCAGAACCAGCAAGGGAGGGGGGGTGGGGGGGCAGGAACCTAATTAAATCTTAACTAACATGAAAGAAACTGCCTACTCAGCAATATTTCCGGGGGGGGGGGGGGGGAGGGAATAAACATTTAAGTAAAAAAAAATTGTATTAGTATACGTTAATTGTAAGAGGTGAATGTTGTGACAATTTCCATATGCGCATACAAACTCACCTCTTGTTATCATTCTCTTAAGTAAAACCTTGAGGAGGCATTAAGGTAAGATTTTTAAGACTTTGGGAGTAGAGGATAAACCTGATTTTTTTTGGGGGGGGGGAGGCAGTACTGGTACTTGAAGTCAAAGCTTAGCTTTTTCACTCAAGACTAGTGCTCTTCCACTTGAGCTACATACACTTCCACAGTTCTGGCATTTTACTAATTGGAGAAAAGAATCACAGGATTTCCTAACCAGGCTGGTTTTAAATCTGGATCCTGAGATGGATCTAAGCACCCTGAGCAGCTAGGATTACAGGTGTGAGTCATTAGCATCGATCAGAGTTGGATCTGATTGTTTAAAAGAAACATTAATGCTATTAACACCTCCATCAGTCTTTTCCCAAGGGAATGAAAGACTGGATTTGGTAGTCCTATGAGCTCTTAGTCGTTGCTCTTTTTCAGGAAGAATAGGTAATACAGGATGACTCTCGAGACACTTCAAACTAAAAAAAGGGAGTCATCTCCCTAAGCTTCCCAAATAATCCAAGGAAGAATAAAATTCAGTGATGCTTTCTTCAACTTTCCTCAAAGTGTTTGGTTTTCAAAAGGAAAAGTGTCAAAGCAGAAGAAAAAAAAGGCTCATTCATTAACTACAATAAAATAGCCCAATAAAACATTCCAATGGGGTTGGAGGCATGGCTCAGGCAGTAAAGCACCAGCCAAAAAGTGCAATCATCAGATACTAAGTTCAAGTCCTAGTCTTGGACAAAAATAAATAGATAAATAGCTTCCAATGTCCTCACTGATTTTTGCCATTTTCTACTACCTCCTTTCTCCCAGCTCTCTTCTTAGCTTCAGTTGAACACCATCAAGTCACCCTGGCTACAGGGACAGTTCATATTACTCCTTGCAGTAAGAACAACTACAGAAATAGGAGTTGGGACAGGCACCAGTGGCTCATGCCTATAATCCTAGCTCACTATTCAAGAGGCTGAGATCTGAGGATTGTGGTTCAAAGCCAGCCCAAGCAGGAAAGTCCAGGAGACTCTTATCTCCGATTAATCACAGAAAAACTAGAAGTGGCATTGTGGCTCAAGTGGTAGAACACTAGCCATGAGCATAAAGGAACTCAAGGACAGTGCCCAGGCCCAGAGTTCAAGGCCCCCCACCCACAAAAAAATTACATATATTTGCCTATATGGGAATAAATGTATCTAAAGTTATACCCTGAATATTATAATACACATTATACCTAAGTGGTTCTTAGGCTTAGATATACTCAAATTTGCACACAAAACTACTAAATATTTAGTTCTAGAACATATTTCACAGCATGGTTATATTTCATAATCACAATGAATGTACAATCATTTTCTTCCAAATACTGGCAATGAATCACATGAACAGATTCTGGAGTGGCTATACTTCATTACTGAATCTAGTTTCAAGAATTTGGAAAGACTTCAGAGTAGATAATGACATAACTTAGGTTTCTTGCAACACTGATGCTCTGATAGTGAAAACTGCTTATCCAGAACATGCATAAACACTGAGGATAATCTGAAAATCATTTATTAAAGCTATTTGTTAGGGCTGGGAAGGTTGCTTAGTGGTAGAATGCTTGCCTAACATGCATGAGGCCCTGGGTTCGATTCCTCAGAACCACATAAGCAGAAAAGGCTGGAAGTGGTACTGTGGCTCAAATGGTAGAATGCTAGCCTTGAGCTGAAGTGCTGAGGAACAGCGCCCAGAGTTCAGGCCCCACAACACATACACACACACACACACACACACACACTGCTAGCCTTGAGCTGAAGTGCTGAGGAACAGCGCCCAGAGTTCAGGCCCCACAACACACACACACACACACACACACACACACACACACACACACTGCTAGCCTTGAGCTGAAGTGCTGAGGAACAGCGCCCAGAGTTCAGGCCCCACACACACACACACACACACACACACACACACACACACACACACACACACACACACACACACACACACACACACACACACACACACACACACACACTGCTAGCCTTGAGCTGAAGTGCTGAGGAACAGCGCCCAGAGTTCAGGCCCCACAACACACACACACACACACACACACACACACACACACACATACACACACACACACACACACACACACACACACACACACACTGCTAGCCTTGAGCTGAAGTGCTGAGGAACAGCACCCAGAGTTCAGGCCCCACAACACACACACACACACACACACACACACACACACGCGCGCGCGCGCGCGAGCGCCAGGCCCCGATGGCTCACGCCTATAATCCTAGCTACTCAGGAGGCTGAGATCTGACGACTACATTCAAAGCCAGCCCGAGAAGGAAAGTCTGTGAGACTCTTATCTCCAAAAAAACAGAAGTGGTGCTGTGGCTCAAGTGGTAGAGCACTAGCCTTGGGCTGAAGAGCTGAGGGACAGCTCTCAGGCCCAGAGTTCAAGCCCCACAACCAACCAAAATAAAACAAAAAAAAAAAACATGTTTCATAGGCAAAATCCAATGCAGTCTTAAATGCTATCTGCTTTGCTTCCCAGGCTTATCAAAATGTTGCTGAAGAATACACACCCAGTTTGGTTCACTTCTATGGAAAACATTAAGCTTATTCAACCTCTTTGAAGAGCCATTTCTTCTGCATTAGGGACTGACTCCTTTTTTGTTGTTGTTGTTGGGGGGGGGGGTGTTTGTTTTGGCCAGTCCTTGAACTCAGGACCTGGGTACTGTCCCTGAGCTTCTTTTACTCAAGGATAGAGCTCTACCACTTGAACCTTGAACCACAGCACCACTTCGAGCTTTTTCTATTTATGTGGTACTGAGGAACCAAACCCAGGGCTTCACGCATGCTAGGCAAGCACTCTACCACTAAGCCACATTCCCAGCCCTTATTCTATTTTTATAAGCAAAACACAAATTTTTATGCAACCAGAAAAATACTGAAACCCTGTTAACATCAGGGGAAGATGTTATAAACCTTATATAAAGAAATAGCATCAGGGACCTGCTTGCAATCCCAGCTACAGAGGCAGAGATCAGGAGGACTGATGATTAATGCTGTTGGTTGGCCTAGGTGAAAAACCAAAACACCGTATCTGTAACAAAATTAAAGCAAAAAGGGCTGGGGACATGGTGGAGCACCCGAGTAGCAAGATCCAAGTCTTGCTTTCAAACATCAGGGTTGCCACATGGAAAGTTAAAAATAAAAAATAAAAATAAACATCATGTGGGTAGAACTTCTACAATGTGTGTCTATCTGCATAGATATTATGTAATGCTGTGTTACATTACATAATAATGTACTACATGTGGTACTTAACACTTTTTCACCCCATATAGACATATTTTGTGTATGTAAACCATGGGTTTTTGCAACTATTTCACATTGTAAAATGTAATTCTAGTCTTTTATTCATTTAATAAACATTTACTAGGCATTAGGAACAAACTAAGGGACAAAATCAGAAATGCTTCCTATCCTTAGGAAATCTTGGAACCAATTAGAAACAAATACAACTTCTGGTAAACTGCTGAGACATAAAACCAAGAAAACTATGTCAGCAATGATTATTCACATTGCTGAGTCATCCCCCCCTTTATCACACTTGGTAGTCAATCACCCTCAATTCATTTCTCTTACACCCCATATCCAATCCACCAATAAACCTTTGAAATGCATCTATGTGCACTGATTGACCCTCTCTGGCACAACTCAAGTGGCTGCATCTATTGTTCAAAGATGTCCCTATACTAATCCCATTAAACTGTGAGGAATCTATTTTACCACACAAGGGGTTTTTGCAGGTGTCAATACATGAAGATCTTGATTTTAACTTAGTGAAATTTCTGATCTACAGACTACAAGTCAATAATGTGTGCTGTGTGATGCCAGGAAACTTGCTACGATTTGTTAGTGACAATAGGAAATCAATACAGCTGGCTTCCACCTTTTCTCCATTTAGCCTCAAAGCAGATATATAGCCTTGTAAAACATAAGGCAGGTGCTCAGAGTCATCCAGGTTTCCAGTGTCAGGCAGTTTGAAATCTAAAGTCCCTCTCCTCTTTGAGGCCATTCATCCATCCCTTCTTTCTCTTATGGTTGATTAGTCTCTCTGCTTCCTGTTGTTTCTCTTTTCCCTCTGCCAGATCAGCTCCCCAGTTGCCAGTCGAGAGGTTTGAGGGCTTTTGTTGTTGTTGTTTGTTTGCTCCTGAGGAGCAAACCTTCTAGCCTCCTAGCTGCTAAGCACAAGCTCTAGAACTGCACTACATTCCAGGGCCTGAAGTCTACTCTTACATGTTACCTCCTTATGGAAACTAACCCAGAACATTCCATCCAAAACTGCAACTTCCATCAGGCGTGCTCAAAGGGTAACCAGGATGGCAGTGAATTGGGAAGCAGCACCCTCCAACCCCCTTCGGTCCTGGAAAAGCCCCCACAGAGCCCGAGGTCTGTTTCTGCCTACCCAGGCTCAGCAGCAGAGGCGGGAGGTAGCGCTGCTGAAGTCAAGGGCGGTCATTTCAGGCTAATGTTGATGATGAGAACTTCACCCCCCCCCAACAATCCCTTCCCCTTCAACCCATCTTTGTTGTTCTTAGCATTTATCGCTTAACACAAACATTACCTACTTACTGTTTAAGGTTTGCTTCCAAGAAGGCTAGAATTTCTGCCTTGTTCGCTGCTGCACTCCTAAATCGTTATGGGTCAGTGTCTGGGGCGTATTAGGCATGTTATAAATATTTGTTGATTCAAAGAGCAGGTGAGGACTCTTAAAGTGGAAAACCTGTGTGTTTTTTTAATAAATAAAAACTTAAAAGAGGAAAGATGGAAATGCACTGATTTCCAATGTAAAAATGATTTTCAAGCCTTGGTAATACCTAAGAGTAGAAATTGGAAGGGAATTAAAACCTCACGGCTATGTATTATATAGAGATACCAACATATCAGACATGAAAAAGAGAAACACGCCAGCAGACGATTTCTGAGTTAAACAAGGTAATGCCCAATGCCAGCATTTTCCTCCGCCTTTCTTCCCAATACCTTCGTCCTGGCAGATCCATCACCTGCAGTTCTGACGCTGGCACATCGCGTGCACCTGCAGGAAAAGCCCGGGGAGGACAGAGGCCCAGCAGCCGGCACCCAGCGGTCCTGCGCCCCTTTGGAAGGCTCAGCCCCCCACCCCCGGACGGGGCTCCCCTCCTCCTCTCACGCACCCCCCCCCTCGCGCGGCGCCCTCCCCGCGAACGCCTTCCCGGGGGCCGGGACGTGGGCGCCCGTCCTGGGGGAGGCAGAGGCGGCCAGTTCCGCCGGAGGAGCCCGCGGGTCCAGAAACAAACCTATCGCTTCCGCAACCTACAAAACGGCGGCTCCACCGAGCTCCGCAGTCCCCAGTTCCAGATCCCTCCTCCCACTCGCCTCCGCCCGGCAGCGGAGTGAGGGCGACAGCCAAGTTAGCCGGGAATCACTAGCAGGGTTGAAGGCATCACCACCACCGCTCACCGCCCTCTGCGCGCCCGGGACGCTCAAGCTCAGTCCTGCAGCGCAGGACGGGGTGGGACAACCGGAGGCTGCGCCCAATCCTGGCTTAGCTCCGCCCACCAGACTCGCTGCGGGAACTACAAGTCCCATGAGGCTTTGGGAAACCGCATCGTTCCACCGGAAAGAAGAGGAGGGGCCCAAAAGGAATTGTGGGAGAAAGGTCTCTTCCTTTCCGTCTGGCGGCAGCCATCAGGTAGGCAGGGGTTTTTTCTCGCTAATCTATCCATCGTTAATCTCCCTTCTTCTCAGCCATCCGTGCCTGAAGACCCTGTGTTCTGATAGCTCTTCCCGCATCCCCTGCGGCGGGAGTCTAGTGAGGATGAGGAGCGGCGACAGTGTGGCGAGGCATCGCCCTGGGGTCGGGGAAAGACGTGATGGCGGCGGGAACTGGTGCTGGGCCCCGAGCCTGAAGCAGGCCTGGGCTGAGGGGTGGGAGGTTTGGCCTGAAGTGACCCAAAGTGAGGCCGCCTGGTTGGGTGGGGTCGGTGCCTTTTCCTGGAGAGCTGATTGCCCGCGGCGGCGGCAGCATCAGCACCTTTTCCTATGGCGGCGACATCTCGGTGACACGCCGCCGCCCGCCGCCACCCGTCCCCTCGGTGCCCAAATCCAGCTCCGATCACCCGTCCGCACGCCAGCCGAGCGCTTCCCGGGGCTGCCCTGCGCCGGGGTAGCAGAGGTGACGACGCGGCTTTCCAGGGTTCCGAGGTGGGTGTTGGGTTCACTGTCGCCTGCAGTTGGTGCAGAGCCATTTTCACTCCCTGCGGTTTCCTTGTGGATGGTGGAAAAACAACCAAGATGGACGGGCGCAGGCCGCGGGCGATTCCCATGTTTTTTAACTCCTGCCATTGCTATAATTGAATACCCGCCTTTATCTCCAAGGTAAGCCAAGATGGGTGCCTACAAGTACATCCAGGAGCTATGGAGGAAGAAGCAGTCGGATGTGATGCGCTTTCTTCTGAGAGTCCGCTGCTGGCAGTACCGCCAGCTCTCCGCGCTGCACCGGGCGCCCCGCCCCACCCGGCCAGATAAGGCACGCCGCCTGGGATACAAGGCCAAGCAAGGTGTGTGGTTTCTCTACGGATGCTGGGATGTTCTGCTCCGTTGTCATCTCTTAGTGCTTTGGTAGAACAGTTCCTGTAATTAGTAAGTTACACATACACTACTGTCAGAAATGCCAACAGCACGTCTCAGGTTTGAGCCTAGGCTAACACAAAAGTTCCTTCCAGTGTAACAATGAGTCTCCCTGTTTTTTAAATGTATAGGTTATGTCATATACAGGATTCGTGTGCGCCGTGGTGGCCGCAAACGCCCGGTTCCTAAGGGTGCAACTTATGGCAAGCCTGTCCATCATGGTGTTAACCAGCTCAAGTTTGCTCGCAGCCTTCAGTCTGTTGCTGAGGTAAATGGTTTTGACTGACTGTTGTAACTACCTATTAATGGTAGTTAACAAAGACTGAGCACCTTGTCTGTACCTAGTGTGTGTGATGGGTTTGTGGGGGGGTGACATTTATCTAGACATTGTAGTTGCTATCAAAATCATTAGTGTTCTAATCTGAGTTTGTATATGATACATGGAAAAGGTATTTTGTGATTAATAAACTTGAGAGGGGCCTAAGCTTTCAAAGGGCAGTAAAGTTGTCTTCACATGGTTTATTTACTTTGCCAATGTGCTCCTTTATTTGGAGGTTTTTTTTATCTTAAGACATGGGCAGAAAGTTTTGTTGGCTTCTGTTGTGATTGAAAGTGTTGAGGCTGGGAATACAGTTTAGAGGGTAGAGTGCTTTGCATTTTTTTTAAATTAAGTTAATAGCTTAAATCTCTTACCTAGGAAAGATACATGGTTAACAAGATTTACCGGTGTAAGCCAGGAAGGAGGCTGATCTTGGGTCTTTTTTCCTATTCCAGGAGCGGGCTGGGCGTCACTGTGGGGCTCTGAGAGTCCTGAATTCTTACTGGGTTGGTGAAGATTCTACATACAAATTCTTTGAGGTTATACTCATTGATCCATTCCATAAGGCCATCAGAAGAAATCCTGACACCCAGTGGATCACCAAACCAGTCCACAAGCACAGAGAAATGCGTGGGCTGACCTCTGCAGGCCGCAAGAGTCGTGGCCTTGGAAAGGGCCACAAGTTCCACCACACTATCGGCGGTTCTCGCCGAGCAGCATGGAGAAGGCGCAATACTCTCCAGCTCCACCGTTACCGCTAATAATAAAAGTAATGTTTGTACAATTCATACCTAATAAACAATTTAGGACAGTCATGTCTGCTTAAAGGTGTTATTTGTCTGTTAGAACTAGTCTGCAGATTATTTCATGACTGCTTTGTCAAATTATGGAAGTGCAATAATGTTTGAAATCTAAAGTGATGGTGTGTTGTTTCTACTAAGATAAACTTACTCTGTCTTTGCTTTGTCTTACTAGGGAATTATGTCAGTATTTAAAACATGCTGTGTGGTAAAATAGGTGTGAAATTCTCGAAAGGAGGAGCACTGAGGCTAGCCCTGTAGATTTGTTTAGTGCATGTTCTGGAACCTGCAGCTGGCTTGGCAAGGTGTTGGTTTTTGGAGATGACAAGCACAAACAAGATTGGATTTTGCTCTGAAATTAGTAGTGTGAACATACTAGCCAGCTTTGATCATGTAGTAAAGCACTAAAGCCAGCCCATGTTTTTTTTTTTAAGTGATGCAATTGCTGCATCTGAAAGCTTTCCAAATGCCATTTTCAAAATTAGATCAACCTGTTACATGCTTCCTTTAAGAAAATACAGCTTAATCTGAATAAAATTGCCTGAGTACCTATTATCAGAAATTCATGAGAGGTTGTTAATACGGTCATCTAAAATGATGATACTGGTATTTTGAAGCTGATAGAATCTGAATAAGAAGTGGATAGGAATTATTTACCTTAAAAATTTGTAAGATTAGCAGTAAATGGGGGATGAGGTTGGTAAGCCAGTACTGACATTTTTGAGTGTGAGCTTACAATGAAATTCTGATCTACATTTAAAATTCCTATAATAGTTTGACAGTGGGAGGAGGGGCTTAGGCTATGCTTGATGTAGTCAAACTCATGGAACAACTCAGATCTATACCATTAAGGCTACTAAGGAAACTATATGTAGTTTCCAATCTAGCTTTGTGTGTTTCTCTCTTGTTCAAATTACCCTCAAAATTGGGCATTCCACAAAATTAGGTCATCCATTAAACGCCACCACATTGTATTTTTGCTTGTGTCATGTCTTCTAGTAGACTGTGCTGTTTCCCAATGGGTTTTGATATGGAATAAGTGCAGGAAGAATTTTCCTTTATTAGAAATTTTGGGTTTCTTGTCAGTAATGGGTAGTTCAATTTCCAAGTCAAATTGCTGTCTTCTCTGAACTGATTTTCCTCTGGGGTTTTAAAAGGGCCTACTGATTTTCCAGAAGATATTCATAGCAGGCTCCTTTGAGACCTAACTGTGTATAGAGGTTGTTCAACTAAAGGAATAAATGTGTACTGAACAAGTGGACCTTGTTATCTTTTGTCATCTAGTCCTAAATGTGCTTTAAGACGAAACCAGCAAAAAAAAAGAAAAATTAGGGAAAATTAACTACTCAGGATTCCCTTTGTTCTTTTGTTAGGACAAGAATTAGAAACTTGACGGTTTTGTTCAACTATTCAGATGTTTCCTCCCTAAGAGGAAAGCATTGGCCAAAAAAAGGCTTGCTGACTACAGTTTTTATTTTTGCCAGTTCTGGAGCTTAAACTCAGAACCTGCTGTTTGGAGATTGTTTTGCTCAAGGCTGGCACTCTAAACCATTTGAACTGTGACTTCTGGATTTTTTTTATGAGAGATACGAATAAACAAAAGCAAGTTTCCTGGGCTGGGAAGGTGGCTCAGTGGTAGAACGCGTGCCTTGCATGCCTGAGGCCCTGGGTTCAATTCCTCAGCTCCACATAATCAAAAAGAAAAAAGCCGGAAGTGGCGCTGTGGCTCAAGTGGTAGAGTGCTAGCTTTGAGCTGAAGAGCTGAGGGACAGCGCCCAGGCCCAGAGTTCAGGCCCCATGACCGGACCCAAAAAAGCAAGTTTCCTTTGGCTGGATTTGAACCCATGACCCTCACCCTCCTGAGTATCTAGGATTACAGGCTTGAGCCACCAGTGCCCAGCTCTGCCTACATCTTTATCTCCATAGCAACTAAAGGAACTTACCAGGCACTGTTTTGGAAACCAAGGTCCAGTAGACTTGTGTCCTGTCATTCAAAGTGAGTGTCTCCCCAGCCTGTATTTTTTTGTGTGGGTACTAGGCCTTGAACTCAGCTTTTGCTCTACCACTTGAGCCACACTATATTTTTACTTTTTGCATATTAATTGGGGATGAATCTCCTCTCATGGACTTTCCTTCCCAGGCCGTCTTCAAATAAAGATCCTCAGGTCAGCCTCCAGTAGCTAGGATTTATAGGAGTAAGCCACCAGTGCCTGACAGAAAAAAAATTTTTAATGTTTATCCTGTGGCTTGAACTCAAGGCCTGGGCACTATCCCTGAGCTTTTTTTTGATACCACTCAGCCACAGCTCCAATTTCCTTCACCCACCCCCCCACCCCCATTCCCATTTTCTGGTGGTAAGAGTCTCACTTTACTGCTCAGGCTGGCTTTGAACCACAGTTCTCGGATCTCAGCCTCCTAAGTAGGTAGGGTTATATGAGTAAGCCATGGGTGCCCACCCTGGCTAAATCTTTTAACTGGACACCTAAAAACATCTCAATTTACTTGCTTGTGAATTCAGGGAGGTATTCAGAGAGAGGTTCATTACTTGACAGTGCTACTTCAGAATAATGGATTGAGTAATGTAATCATAAGTTATCTAATAACTACACTTTCTAAAGAGTTTGTTAAGAGTTTCTAGAGGTTATTGACTGCTAGAAAGTTTCATTTCTTGGATAGCAGAATTTGGAAAATGTTTTATCTCCATTGAACATCACTGCATTGTCCCCAGTTGGATTCTGGGTAGG